TCATTTCTCACAGTAATCAAACTGTAATCATCCTTCTGCAACTTGGGTTTTTTGTTTCTTAGCCTCAATTTCTTAAAAAAGATATATCTGTAATAATGCATGGAGAGGTCTAGTTCTTTCATTTTACTGCTCGGTGTCGTTGTAGTAATATACCACAGTTTAGATTTAGCTCCTCATTTCAGGGAAATTTTCCATTTTATTGAGTATTCTGCCTTATCTCCTATCACTTTGGTCACACCTTGCTTGGCTCCAACTGCCACTTATGTGACTGGTTTCACATCTGCCTCCAATCACTTATTTCTAACAGCACCTCATCTAGTCTAATAGCCTGCTGATTCAAGCCTATGCCCAGCTCAAGTGTGGCAGAGTTAACACCCTCAAAGACAGCCCTCACGGGGAGTCTAGGTGGCTCAGTCAGTTAAGTGTCTGACTTCGGCCCAGGTCACAATCTCATGTGGTTTGTGAGTTCGAGTCCCCCACATTGGGTTCTCTGCTGTCAGCACAGAGCCTGCTTCAGATCCTCAGTTTCCCTCTGCCTCTTGCCCACTTGTGCACGCTTGCACTTTGTCTCTCTCCTAAAAATAAATATACATTAAGAAAAAAAAAGCAGCCCTCAATCAATGGGGAATGGAAACTCCTGCTTCCTATTTTTGGATAGCCAATTTTGGTAGATACTGTGTGTGCTTTTTGGGAGGTGCTATGGAAATTCAGCCCTTATTGCCTGTAGCAGTGACCTTGACAGCAGTCTTTAACTTTTTCTCCTTCCTTCTCACTCTTGTCAATCTGTCACTTATGCCCTCAGGAGTCACCTCCCAAATAAACTACCTGCACATAGTTCTTTTCTCAGGCCTTGCTTTTGTGAGAGTCAAGATATATATCTATGAATATTTCTTAATTTTCATGGGTTTTGTTGATTTCATCTCTATAGTTTCTGATAAGAGAAACCAAGTTAGGAACCCTGCTACACAAGACTGCTCCATTCTGCTTCAGACTCTTGCATCTTTCCTTAGCTATCAGTTTTTGAAGAGTGTGACTTTGGGTTTTATTTCTCTATTCTTATGTTGCTGGAGTGCTAGAGAACCATTGTACTTATTTTCCTGTCTTCTTTGCTGCTCTTTTGTGTTTTTGGGACACCAATTATCCTAAGGTTGGATTATCTTATACAAATTTTATTTATTGTCCTCTAATTGCTTTCATTTGTGTTTTTTAAAATCTGTATTCTCTAATTATCGGCCTTCTGTGTCTTTCTTTTAATTATGACTGTTCCTTTGTGTTTCTTAATTGTATAATAAAAATTATTGTCAATTTCTATTTAATTTTTAGATTCCCTTTTTATCTTTTTTTGTCTTAAAAATCCTTATTGTGTTCACAAATCTTGAAGACTTTGGATGAATGCTTTTGTATTCGTTTGGTTATTTTTTTATTTTTTTTAATTTTTTAATTTTTGAGAGAGGGAGAGCTTGGACGGGGAGGGAGACAGAGACAGAGACAATCTGAAGCAGGCTCCAGGCTCCCAAGCTGTCTGCACAGAGCCTGATGCAGGGCTCAGACGCACAAATCATGAGATCAAGACCTGAGCCAAAGTCAGACTTTTAACCGACTGAGTGACCCAGGTGCCCCTAAACAAGAGTTATTTGACCATCTGGACTTCCGTCTCCTCCCTCCCCACCTCTTTGAGTTTGCCTGTTTGTTTTACCTACTTTTCATCTTGATCATGCTTGACAGCTCTGCCCACACTTTGTTCCTGCATTGTATGGGTGACTTCATTCTCCATGTGAGATTTTTTTCTTGGCTCACCTTGCTTTTATGATTACAAAAAAATATAAACTCTAGAGATATCCATTCTGTCTCTCTGGTAGGTAGGTCATGGTGACTTGTATACATTACTCATGAACTCTGACTTGGCATATTAAATTTTTGCTGGCTTGCTCTAATATTTTTTTCATCTTCCTATAAAAGTTCCCCTTCTGGGGGCGCCTGGGTGGCACAGTCGGTTAAGCGTCCGACTTCAGCCAGGTCACGATCTCGCGGTCCATGAGTTCGAGCCCCGCGTCGAGCTCTGGGCTGATGGCTCAGAGCCTGGAGCCTGTTTCCGATTCTGTGTCTCCCTCTCTCTATGCCCCTCCCCCATTCATGCTCTGTCTCTCTCTGTCCCAAAAATAAATAAACGTTGAAAAAAAAAAAAAAGTTCCCCTTCTGATTCTTACTGCCCATACAAAACCATATTAGGATCTGCTCAGGGCACATGGGTGGCTCAGTTGGTTAAGCGTCCGACTCTTATTTCAGCTCAGGTCATGATCTCACGGTGGCACGGAGCCTGCTTGAGATACTCCTTTTCTCCCTTTGCCACCCCACCTGCTAACACTTGCATGCTTACACACGTTCTCTCCCTCCCTCCTTCCCTCTCTCTCTCTCTCTCTCTCTCTCTCTGTGTATGTGTGTCTGTCTGTCTGTCTGTCTCAAGAAAAAAAGAATCTGCTCCATTTAATTGGGGAATATATTGTTTCCATTGGGAGAAAACTTTAGTGTGCTGCTCTAGAATCTTCACTTCTTAAAAGTACTGGAATTCACTTCTCTGTTTTACTCATTCTCTCCCACAGCTCTGTAGCATCTTCCTCTGGTCATATAAATAATATGTCAAATAAAATAATGAATTTATTTTTTTTCTCTCCAGATTGAGGTATTAATGAGAATTGTTAATTCAAGTTAGGAGCCTTGCCAAACAAGGCTGCTTCATTCCTCTTCAAAATCTGCTGTTTCTTTTCTTGGCTGTCACTTTCGAAGTTTCTAACTTTGGGCAGTGCCTATCCTGTATATTTGTTGCTGGAGAACCAACAATCTACCCTTTTTATTAGCCACCATCCTTTATTTCTCCTCTCCATTCTTCCATCCTTTTCATTTTATTTTGATAATGGGTGGGACGTGGGAGATTATGTAAAGAAGGCTTCCTTCCACTACTTCATCCCAGGGTCTTTCTTTAGGTTTTTTGTTTTGTTTTTGATTATGGGAAAATCTATACAATATAAAATTTACCATTTTAAGTATTTTTAAATGTGCAGTCCAGTGGCATTAAGTACATTCACACCGTTGTGCAACCATAACCATCAACCTTTTCCAGAACTCTTCATTTGTAAAACTGAAACTCTGTGCCCATTGTAAACAGTGATTCCCCATATTTCTACTTTTCCCTCAATCTCTTTATTTTGGCTTTTTAATTTACATCCTATAATAATGTTTTGTGCCTCTGTAAAACTGCTATTGAAGGTATTTTTTATTTCGGTATTTATATCTTCATGTGACTATAACTTGGTCTTAGAATTTACTTTTAGGAAAAGTTTGTTGCCACGTAGTACTGTACTGTGTAGTTAGATTCTTTTTTACTGGAAACAAAGTTTTTTGTGTTTTTCATTTAAATGTAAACATTGTATTACCTAAGTTCACAACTTATTTGTCAGATGAAATCCTTTAAAATTCACCTTTGTAACTAAGTTTTTTGTTTTTTGTTTAGCCAGCAGACTTTAGTTGTACTTAAGATAGAAACTCTAGGGGCACCTGGGTGGCTCAGTTGGTTAAGCATCTGACTTCAGCTCAGGTCATGATCTCACGGTTTGTGGGTTCGAGCCCCACATCAGGCACTAAGCTGACATCTCACAGCCTGGAGCCTGCTTCAGATTCTCTGTCTCCCTCTTTCTCTGCTCGTCCCTGCTCGGTCTTTCTCTCAAAAGTAAACAAACATTAAAAAAATAAATAATAAAATACCATTTATTTATTATTTTTAAAAAGTTTAATAATTTTTGTGAGAGGAAATGCAGGAAGGGCAGAGAGAGGGGGACAGAGGATCTGAAGCAGACTCTGTGCTGATAATGATGAAGTTTGGGATGATGGTGGGGAGCCTGGAGCTGATGATGGCCAAGAAAGAATTCTTGAAGATGTCTTTGGTGCAAAAAGGTGATTTTATTAAAGCGTAGGGACAGGACCCATGGGCAGGAAGAGCTGCACTGGGGTTGTGAGGGGTAACTCATTATATATCTTCAGGTCGGGAGGGGGTCAGGGATAAAGTAAGTCTCTAAGGTATTTTGGAAGCAAGGTTTCCAGGACCTTCAGGGAGTAGCGGTTGCTAGGGAAACACCATTTTTTACTGTTTAATAAAACATCAGTCATGAGACTCTTGAGATGCATATCAGGGGGCCATAAACTGGACTGTGATTGCCAGCATATATCTTGGGGCAGTTGAGATAAAGGAAGCTGACTTAACAGGATTCTGGAGGTTGGGGTAATGTTAAGCTAAGGTTCTGTTTTGCCCCTAGCAAAGGGTCATCATCGTGGCAGCTGAGCTCCTAGAGGGAGGTCACTGTGCCAGTTTCAATGACTTCTCAGTGGGTTGTATGCAGTAAGGGAATATAATGTTTCATTTGCCTTAGTTTCCCACGTTACCATGGCAAGCACTTAAACCTCTTTCCTTAGTTCTTGGATAGCCAGGAGTGTCCGAGGAATATCACACATATTCCACCTGGGGGAGGAGGGGTCTGCCAGCCTGTATTTTGCCCTCAGCTTGCCCCATGCTCCTCCATCAATAGCAGTGAGCCCAATGTGGGACTCAAATTCACAAACCGCAAGATCATGACTTGAGCCAAAGTCAGACACTTAACCAACTGAGCTATCCAGGTACACCAATACCACTTATTTTTAAATTTACAAATACAAAATTTATCCTTTTTGGTGAACAGTTTCTTTTGCTACTTTAAACCTCAACCACTGATCTATTCATTCATCATTCTTACAGTTTTGGATTTTCCAGAATGTCAAGTAAGTAAATCATACACCATCTAGCCTTTTAAGTCTGGTTTTTGTCACTTAGCATAGTGCATTTGAGACTCATTTAAGTTGTCAAGTATCTGAATATTCTTTTTATTGATAAGCAGTATTCCACTGAATATGGTACAAATCTAATAACCATCTTTCTCTGTTCTTTTTGTTTTTGTTTTTGTCTTTAACATTAGCTTTCCAGACTTTTGGATCTTCCACCAGAAAACTTGATCAAGTCAATATCTGCAGTTCCAATTTCCAGAAAAGAGTTAAGTATATTTTTAACAATTTAAAATGTTGCTGACTTTGTCAATATACAAAAAAAAAGTTATTCTTCAATTTATAAAATAGACCTTGAAATTAACCATGGAATATGATGTAACCTATTATTCCATTGACTTAAATAATAAAATCTGTATTGTACCTACTCTGATGTGGTATATTAAATTAGAAGTCTCATGTTGTTTGATGTTTATGCTGTTAACTACAATTATGTCAAAATATTTAAGAAAAATTAGGAACAAGGTCAAAATTGAATTCTGTGACAGCAAATAAAAGAACTAAGATTGTGGTTAGAATTTTAGGGTTTGGGGACGCCTGGGTGGCTCAGTTGGTTGAGTGTCCAACTTTGGCTCAGGTCATGATTTCACGGTTCGTGGGTTCAAGCCCCGTGTCATGCTCTAGGCTGATGGCTCAGAGCCTGGAGCCTGCTTCAGATTCTGTGTCTCCCTCTCTCTCTGCCCCTCCCTTCTTGTGCTCTGTCTTCCTCTGCTTCTCAAAAATAAAGAAACGTAATAATAAAAATTTAAAAAAAAAAGAATTTCAGGGTTTTTGAAGGTATTTTTGAGATTATATACCTAGATGCTTGAATACTGTTGTACTATGTTTACCTGCTAGGTTTTTTGTGGGTTTTGGGTTTTTTTGTTCGTTTCCATTTGAGGACTCTCAGTGATAGAGTACTATTGGTTACATATAACCAACCTGTAGTTGCTTTCTTGGATACAGGAAGGTATCTATCTCTTTGGGAGTTTGGTTCTTCTAAATGATATTTATTTACCATTTGGCTACAAAATCTAGCCAAAATACCCTTTTGGTCAATTAATAATGATAAGAAATTAGCTACATAGTAAGCATTTAAGCCCTAAGCTTTGGAAAGATGTAAAGATAGAATTATCAGTATCATTATGTCCTAATATTTTGTCCACTTAACTTTGTCAAGATTTTAAGATAGGGTAGGATAAATATTATTGTTCTCAGAATAGGACAAAGAGATAAATGGAAGAGGAAGAGAAAGGCTACATGTGGCCTTGTTGAAAGAATCTTTAAAGTGGCCTGCTGCAACTTGCTTTATATTAAGTTCTAAGAACAAAGGCAAGGACTGACAAGGAGATCTCATAATTACACATCAATAAATATAATATTCCAAGCCAGTTACCTATTTCATAAAATCTGTAAATGGCATTTTGCATAATAAAAATATCTGTTTTTATTTTATGTTTCAAAGACCTTTAATAAGATGAGCAATCTTGGCCCATCTTTTGAATACGATTTTCTTTACCTGCCTGAAGCTCCTTTAGGTAGCTCTACTTTAATGATGCTATACTTATTATATCTTTGGTTTATACAAAATCAATATTAGGGGGGATTTCAAAATTTTTTTAGGCTACAAGTCTAAAATTCTGCATATTAAATTTATTTTAAATAAAAAGAATCTCTACTGCTTTGCCATCACAAACTTAAGTATCCTTTACGGTACTAAAATGCTGTTAAGTGTCAGGAGGCTTAAGTCCTTTTTGTTGTTGTTATCAGTATGGTTTACTTAATACCTTATGAATCAGTTTCTTTAGGTCTCCTAATTCTCTCAATTATATATTCAACTGTGGTGGAATTTCTGTTTAATACTGATCGTAATACACAGGATTAATGACTTTGTTACCAGCCAGTAACACTCAAGCCAGTGAATTGCACTCTAATACCATAACAGCAATTCCTCAGAAGTAGTGGAAAGGTAGCTATTTCTTTTTAAAACCTTTTTTTTTTTTAAATTATAAACAATATAAAAGTAGGGGAATAGTTTCTAGAACCCCTCTGTGCCATCACCACCGTCATTGGCACATAGCCAGTTGTGTTTCCTCTGTACCTGTACCCACTTTCCTTCTTCACAATGGATTATTTTGATAGCTACATTAATTTTTCTATCACAAAACCAAAAGAGATAATCTTAAGGAAATTCAGAAAAATACAGAAGAATAAGAAGGAAAAACCCCCAATATGTTAACAAGTTGATGTAGTTTTCATATTTCTCTTTGAATGTCTTACAACTTTTATTTTTATTATTATTTTTTTTTTAATTTTTATTATTTTTTTTAATGTTTATTTTTGAGAGAGAGAGTGTGAACAAGGTGGGAAAGAGAGAGAGGGATACACAGAATATGAAGCAGGCTTCAGGCTCTGGACTGTCAGCACAGACCCCAATGCAGGGCTCAAACTCACGAATGGTGAGATCATGACCTGAGTCGAAGTTGGATGCTTAACCGACTGAACCACCTAAGTACCCTGTGTCTTACAACTTTTGAAAAAACATAGCTATAAAACTTCTGCATGTATGAGTTTTGAACCCTTTTTCCTTGACATCATTCTTTTTTGGTAAATGTCACTTTCAACAGTGGCTACATAATACTCTAATGCTCCCCTGTTGATGGACATTTAGATTGCTTTCGGTTCTGACTTTTTACATAATTCACATTCAATACGTACCTCTTTAAATAGACAAAGGAAACCTTCCTTGTAGATATATAACTAAAAGCTCCCTAAAAGGAAAACAGGGAAGTAAGTCAATTCTGGTTGATCCACTCACCATAACCCACACATACACACCACTGAAGCATTTATTTCTCTTTTGGGCCTTCCTTGCTGGTAAATAGCCCTTCATATAATTTCAGAAGTCATGTTTGAAATATTCCTAGTGTGAATTATTGTTAATAGACTAAAATGATGATTTTCTTTGTCCCTCTACCACTGAACAAATATTTTCTCAGTTAATATAAATTTATATATTTATTTACTTACTTATTTAGTCAATAGTTAGTTACCATATACTGCAACAGTAATTTCAGGAGTAGTAGATTCCTTAATGGCCCTTACCCATTTAGCCCCCTTCTGTAACCCCTCCAGCAACTCTCTGTTCTCTATATTTAAGAGTCTCATGTCCCCCTCCCTGTTTTTATATTATTTTTGCTTCCCTTCCCTTATGTTCATGTGTTTTGTATCTTATAGTCCTTATATGAGTGAAGTCATATGATATCTGTCTTTCTCTGACTAATTTCACTTAGCATAATACCCTCATAATACCCTTATAATACTCTACATCCACATAGTTGCAAATGGCGAGATCTCATTCTTTTTGATCGTCATCCATTGTGTGTGTCATCCATTATATGTATGTGTGTATATATATATATATGTGTGTATATATATATACACATATATATATATATATATATATACACATATATACACACACACACACACACACACACACACACCACATCTTCTTTATCCATTCATCCATCAATGGACACATGGACTCTTTCCATACTTTGGCTGTTGTTGATAGTGCTGCTATAAACATTGGGGTTCATGTACCCTTTCAAAACAGCACACCTGTATCCCATGGATAAATGCCTAGTAGTGCAATTGCTGGGTCATAGGGTAGTTCTATTTTTACTTTTTTGAGGAACCTCCATACTGTTTTCCAGAGTGGCTGCACCAGCTTACATTCCCACCAGCAGTGCAAAAGAGATCCTCTCTCTCCACATCCTTGCCAACATCTGTTGTTCCCTGAGTTGTTAATGTCAGCCATTCTGACAGGTGTAAGGTGATATTGCATTGTGGTTTTGACTTGTATTTCCCTGATGATGAGTGATGTTGAGCATTTTTTTCATGTGTCGGCCATCTGGATGTCTTCTTTTGAGAAGTGTCTATTCATGTCTTTTGCCCATTATTTGTCTTTGGGGTGAGTTTGATGAGTTCTTTATAGATTTTGGATACTAACCCTTTACCTGATATGTCATTTGCAAATATCTTCTCCCATTCTGTCAGTTGCCTTTTAGTTTTGTTGATTGTTTCCTTCACTGTGCAGAAGTTTTTTTATTTTGATGAGGTCCCAATAGTTCATTTTTCCTGTTGTTTTGCTTGCCTCCAGAGACATGGTAAGTAAGAAGTTGGTGTGGCCAAGGTCAAAGAGGTTTTTGCCTGATTTCTCCTCGAGGATTTTGATGGCTTCCTGTCTTACATTGAGGTCTTTAATCAATTTTGAGTTTATTTTTGTGTATGGTGTAAGAAAGTGGTCCAGGTTCATTCTTCTGCATGTCACTGTCCAGTTTTCCCAGCACCACTTGCTGAAGAGACTGTCTTTATTTCATTGGATATACTTTCCTGCTTTGTCAAAAATTAGTTGGCCATACCTTTGTGGGTCCATTTTTTCTGTTCCATTGATCTGAGGATATATTTTTTGTGCCATACTGTCTTAATGATTACAGCTTTGTAATACACTTTGAAGTCTGGAATTGTGATTCCTTCAGCTTTGGTTTTCTTTTTCAAGATTGCTTTGGCTATTTGGGTCTTTTCTGGCTCCATACAAATTTTAGGATTATTTGTTCTAGCTCTGTGAAGAATGCTGGTGTTATTTTGACAAGGATTGCATTGAATATGTAGATTGCTTTGGATAGTATTGACATTTTAACAATATTTGTTCTTCCTATCCAGGAGCATGGAAATGTTTCCATTTTTGTGTGTCTGCTACAATTTCTTTCATAAGCTTTCTGTAGTTTTCAGTGCATACATTTTTCACCTCTTTGGTTAGGTTTATTTCTAGGTATTTTATAGTTTTTGGTGCAATTGTAAATGGGATCAATTCCTTGATTTCCCTCTCTGTTGTTTCATTGTGGGTGTATAAGAATGGAACTGATTTCTGTGCATTGATTTTTATATCCTGAGACTGCTGAATTCATGGATCAGTTCTAGCAGTTTTTTGGTGGAACTTTTGGGTTTTCCATATAAAGGATCATGTCATCTGCGAAGACTGAAAGTTTGACGACCTCCTCACCTATTTGGATGCCTCTTATTATTTTATGTTGTCTGATTGCTGAGGCTAAGACTTTCAATACCATGTTGAATAACAGTGGTGAGAGTGGACGTCCTTGTCTTGTTCCTGACCTTAGGGGGAAGCTCTCAGTTTTTCCCCATTGAGGATGACATTAGTGTTGGGTCTTTCATATATGGCTTTTATGATCTCGAGGTATGATTCTTTTATCCCTACTTTCTTAACGGTTTTTATCAAGAAAGGAAATTGTATTTTGTCAAATGCTTTCTCTGCATCTATTGAGAGGATCATGTGGTTCTTGTCCTTTCTTTTATTGATGTGATATCTCACAGTGATTGTTTTGTGGATATTGAACCAGCCCTGCATCCCAGGTAAAAATCTTACTTGGTCGTGATGAATAATTTTTTTAATGTGTTGTTGGATCCGGTCGGCTAGTATCTTGTTCAGGATTTTTGCATCCATGTTCATCAGGGAAATTGGTCTGTAGTTCTCTTTTTTTTTTTTTTTCAACGTTTATTTATTTCTGGGACAGAGAGAGACACAGCATGAATGGGGGAGGGGCAGAGAGAGAGGGAGACACAGAATCGGAAATAGGCTCCAGGCTCTGAGCCATCAGCCCAGAGCCCGACGCGGGGCTCGAACTCACGGACCGTGAGATCGTGACCTGGCTGAAGTCGGACGCTTAACCGACTGCGCCACCCAGGCGCCCCTGTAGTTCTCCTTTTTAATGGGGTCTTTGGTTTGGGGATCAAGGTAATGCTGGCCTCATCGAATGAGTTTGGAAGTTTTCCTTCCATTTCTATTTTTTGAAACAGCTTCAAGAGAGTAGGTGTTAACTCTTCTTTAAATGTTTAGTAGAATTCCCGTGGAAAGCCATCTGGCCCAGGACTGTTGTTTTGGGGGAGATTTTTGATTACTATTTCGATTTCCTTACTGGTTATGGGCCTATTCAAATTTTCTATTTCTTCCTGTTTCAGTTTTGGTACTGTATATGTTTCTAGGAATTTATCCATTTCTTCCAGATTGCCCATTTTATTGGCATATAATTGCTCGTAATATTTTCTTATTGTTTGCGTTTCTGCTATGTTGTGATCTCTCCTCTTTTATTCTGATTTTATTTATTTGGGTCCTTTCCTTTTTCTTTTTGATCAAACTGGCTAGGGGTTTATCAATTTTGTTAATTCTTTCAAAGAACCAACTTCTGGTTTCATTGATCTGTTCTGCTTTTTGGTTTCAATAGCATTGATTTCTGTTCTAATCTTTATTATTTCCTTTCTTCTGCTGGTTTGGGTTTTATTTGCTGTTCTTTTTCCAGCTCCTTAAGGTGTATGGTTAGGTTGTGTATCTGAGGCCTTTCTTCCTTTTTGAGGAAGGCCTGGATTGCTATATACTTCCCTCTCATGACAACCTTTGCAGCGTCCCAGAGGTTTGGGACTGTGGTTATCATTTTCATGGGCTTCCATGTACTTTTTAATTTCCTCTTTAACTTCTTGTTTGTCCCATTCATTCTTTAGTAAGATGGTCTTTACTCTCCAAGTTTTGTTATCTTTCCACATTTTATCTTGTGGTTGATTTCAAGTTTCATAGTGTTGTGGTCTGAAAATATGCACGGTATAATCTCGATCTTTTTGTACTTGTTGAGGGCTGATTTGTGTCCCGGTATGTGGTCTATTCTGGAGAGTGTTCCATGTGAACTGAAGAAGAATGTGTATTCTGCTGCTTTAGGATGAAATGTTCTGAATATATCTGTTAAGTCTATCAGGTCCAGTGTGTCATTCAAAGCTATTGTTTCCTTGTTGATTTTTCTGTTTAGATGAGCTATCCGTTGTTGTAAGTAGGATGTTGAAGTCCCTTATTATGATATTGTTATCAATGAGTTTCTTTATGTTTGTGATTAATTTATTTATATATTTGGGTGTTTTCACATTTGGAGCATAAATATTTGCAATTGTTAGTTCTTGGTGGATAGACCCCTTAATTATGATATAATGCCCTTCATCTCTTGTTACAGTCTTTATTTTAAAATCTAGATTGTCTGATATAAGTATGGCTACTTTGGCTTTCTTTTGTTGACGATTAGCATGATAAATGGTTCTCCATCTTCTTACTTTCAATCTGAAGATGTCTTTAGGTCTAAAGTGGGTCTCTTCTAAACAGCATATAAATGGATCTTGTTTTCTTGTCCATTCTGTTACCCTTTGTCTTTTGATTGGAACATTTAGTCCATTCACATTTAGAGTGAGTACTGAAAGATATGAATTTATTGCCATTATGTTGCTTGTAGAGCTGGAGTTTCTGGTGGTGGTCTCTGGTCCTTTCTAGTCTTTGTTGCTTTTGGTCTTTTTTTTTTCTTCCCCTCGTCTTTTCTCCCCTCAGAGAGTCCCCCTTAAAATTTCATGCAGGGCTGGTTTAGTGGTCACAAACTCCTTTGGTTTTTGTTTGTCTGAGAAGCTTTTTATCTCTCCTTATTTTGAATGACAGCCTTGCTGGATAAAGAATTATTGGCTGCATATTTTTCTGATTCCGTACATTGCATACATCCTTCCACTCCTTTCTGGCCTGCCAAGTTTCTGTGGATAGGTCTGCTACAAACCTGATCTGTCTTCCCTTGTAGGTTAAGGACTTTTTTCCCCTTGCTGCCTTCATGATTTCTTTCCTTGCGTGAGTATTTTGTGAATTTGACTATGATATGCCTTGTTGATGGTCAGTTTTTGTTGAATCTATTGGGAGTCTTCTGTGCTTCCTGGATTTTGATGTCTGTGTCTTTCCCCAGGTTAGGAAAGCTTTCTGGTATGATTTGCTCACATAACCCTTCTACCCCTTTTTCTCTCTCTTCATCTTCTGGGACGCCTATGATTCTGATGTTGTTTCTTTTTAATGAGTCACTTGATTTCTCTAATTCTTAAATCGTGCCCTTTTCCCTTAGTCTCCCTCTTTTGTACTGCTTCATTCTTCTCCATAAGTTTGTCCTCTATATCGCTGATTCGCTGCTCTGGTTCATCCATCCTTGCCGCTGTGACAACTATTCGAGATTGCGGCTCAGTTATAACATTTTTTATTTCGTCCTGACTAGCTTTTACTTCTTTTATCTCCACAGAAAGGGATTCTAATCTGTTTTCAACCCCAGCTGGCATTCTTATTATCAGCATTCTAAAGTCTTGTTGAGACATGTTGCTTATATCTGTGTTAATTAAGTCCCTGGCTGTCCTTTCTTCCTTCATTCGGGTGAATTTTAGGGTGAATTCCTTCATTTTGTCATTTTGAAGGAAATAAAGGAATTAGTAAGGTAAAAAAATAATTAAAATTAAAAAATTGGAAAAACACACAGAAGAATCAAATAAATGATGTTAGATCCTAGGTGTGTTTTGGTCTGGTTGTTGAAAGGAGCTTGATATGTTAGAGAAAAAAGGAACAGAAAAGAAAAAAAGGGAAACGTTTGAAAACTTGAAAAAAATGAATACAATGAAACAAAATAAAATGATGGAAGTAAAGTAGAATTTGGAAAACTTACAAGAAAAATAAAAAATATAGTAGAAAAAAATTAAAAATATTTTTAATAAAAATGGAAAATAAAAATAGATATTCTCTTTCTGTATTCAAGAATAAAAAAAGAGGGGTGTCTGGGTGGCTCAGTCGGTTGGGCATCTGACTTCGGCTCAGGTTATGATCTCGTGGTTTGTGGGTTCGAGCCCTGCATCGGGTTCTGTGCTGAGAGCTCGGAGCCTGGAGCCTGCTTCGGATTCTGTGTCTCCCTCTCTCTCTGCCCCTCCCCTGCTCATGCTCTGTCTCTCTCTGTCTCAAAAATAAATAAAACATTTTTAAAAATTTTTAAAAGAAAGAAAAAAATGGAAATGATAGACCAGCAAACAGACTGAAATATGATTGAAATTATATCAGTTTCCCCTAGAAGTCAAACTATGAAGCATTTTATAGTCCATAAACTAAGCAAGCAGAGAGTCTTCTAGTGTTCCTTAAGAGCGAGGTTGGCCCAGTTGTGGGGGGGGGGGGGCTTAGTGTAACGGCTCCGTTCTCCACTAGATGGCACAGTTTAGCCTACTGGGGTGGATTTTTGCGGCACATGTAGGTGTGTATGCTCATGTGTGGGAGGAGTGAAAATGGCATCACCCAGGTACCCAGTCTCTAGTAATGGAATTCTGTTCTCCCCAACCAGCAGTCAGGCACTACTCCTTTGTCTCCTGCTTCCATCCACTCCCTGCTTTTACACTGTCCATGACCAAGCCGTCAGTTTGCCAGCCAGCACCTCCCTCCTGAGTTTTGTCTCAGATGCGGCTGTGTTTGCCAGCCCCTCACTTCTGAGGGACTGCAGATTGACCCTTTATGACTCTCTGGAGGAGAGTCTCACTGAGCAGTGGCGTGGTGCCCACCCACCCCAAGGAGTGTTCATGGGACCATGCTGCTGCTGATGCCCAGAGACTGTGGCTGGGTGCCAGTCTGCCCCAGAAAAAGTTCCCATGATCGTGTAGTAGCAGTGTTTCAGGGGTTATGGTAGATCACAGCACACATCTGGTACCAGGCTTCCCACGTAATGTCATTGTTCCAGCACCAGCAAATGTTCTCCAGGGTCCGCTGGGACCTTTGTTTGTTGGATGGCCTCACCCTTTCTCCCAAATATCCTCCCAGCAGGGGAACTGCCTCTTCCCGTGTGTCCTGAAGACCCCTTGCACCTTTCTGCTCACAGGGATTCGCCCTTCCCACCAGACCACCACCAGGTATCAAGCTGCAGAGTTTCAGACTCTGCACTCCCCCTGTTTATAGAGTCTTAATGGAATTTAAACCCTCTCTTTTTCCTTTCTCCCTTTTTTTATTCAGTCCTTTGCATACTTTCTTTTTTCTCCAGCTGTTTTCAGGGTGTGGGGGGTTGAGATGCTTTCCCATACTCTCTGCATATCTTCATTCTCTCTCCACAAGCAAGAACAGCTCCTGGCCCTCCACGGCTTCTCTCCCCTAGTTCACCTCTCCGCACTGCGTACCTGCCAAGTTCTGTGGTTCAGGTTGTGCAGATTATTGTGTTAATCCTCAAATCAGTTTTCTAGGTGTACAGGATGGTTTAGTGTTGATCTTGGCTGTAATTCAGGGAGGAGAGATGCAAAATAAAATTTCTAGTTTATTCCTCCATCTTGGCCCCTCTAAGATAATAAATTTTTTTAATTAAATTTCATTATTTTACCATTCATGTCGATAAAATTATAGATGCTTCTTATTCATAATTTTTTTAAACTATAGAAGATCACGTGACCTCTTTGTGTTTCCTGGATGTTTGAGAGCGATTCTACCTATATAGTCCTATTACACCTCATGTAAAGTATCCTAGCTATATGTCAAAATTTTAATCTCTGGTATATTCACATCTGTATAATTTCACTTAATATCGTAATTGTTCTTACTACTTTCTATTTAACCTTTTAAAAAAATCTTTGCGTGTTCATGTATTATTCCCATCTTGTTAAACTAATTTCAATTTCCCACATTATTGGTGCAAATATGTGGTAAACTATCAAAGTCCTTTGGTAAGAATAAATACATTCAAACCTTATGTAAATTTCCCCAATTAAATTTAGTCTTTAAGAAATTGAATTGTCATGTCCTCAGGGCTCAGGACTCAGGACTGTTTAACATTTTTATTTAACATCAGAACTAAGATTAGTATTATTTATTCAGAACTTAATTTCTCAGCACAATGTGAAATAGGTACCATTATCATCACCATTTTACTAGGGTACAAGAGAAGTTAAGCAAAGTGCTTAAGATCACACAGAGACTGATTAATAGATGAACTTGGGTCTGCAGTTATAGCTGAAATGTTTAGTGGATGAGTTTGGGTTGGTAAGTATAATCCGTACTAGGTTGCTGGATAATGTATTAAGGCTCAAGAAGACTCTTCTAGTTTTTTTGTTTTTTTGTTTCCTGGGGTTTTGGGTGAGGGGGGAGAATGAGAATATGAGTTGGGGAGGGACCAAGGGAGAAGAAGAGAGAATCTTAAGCAGGCTCCATGCCCAGCACAGAAATGGCTCAAGAAAATTCTTGTTGTTGTTGTTGTTGTTGTTGTTGTTGTTGATTTTAGGAGAGAATGTGCATGCGGACACATAACTGGGGGAAGAGGCAGAGAGAGAGGAGAGAGAATCCCAAGCAGCCTCCATGCTGTCAGCGCAAACCCAAAGTGGGGCTCAATCCCACAAACCAGGCTTGAGAAAATTCTTAGTGGTTTTTGTTGACCAGTTGTTTAATGTAATGTGAAACAGATACCACACAGGGTTTTTTAGGCATGTCCCTGAGTTTCAAGAATGATAACAAAGTTCATTTATGCCCCTCTAAAATACATTCTTTTGTCTCGATGACAATGGACTAGACAGTAGTTTTATCCACTTATTCTGCCCATAGAGTTTCATTCTCTAGTTCCTTATTAAATATCAGATGTTCCAGCATGGGTAAATATGTAGATGTTTGTATATCAATTAAAATTTCATTACACTTTGAGCTACCTATCTCAGATTGTAAAACTACGATTAGGTAATATAAGAGGAAGAATTTTAGAAGATAAAGTTCTAAATATAAGGTGATATTTCTGATTTCTTTGCTTTATATTTTGAAACCATAATCCTTTCATAAAATTGTATCAATGTGGAGAACCCATAGTGGCTGGTCTTTTTTGTTGTTGTTATATTAGTAATGTTTTTAAGATATAATAGCTTTTACCTTTTTCAATTTCTGTCTTTAGAGAAGTAGCTGATTTTCAGCTTTCTGTGGATTCTCTATTGGGAAACAGCAATGACCATTCAAGACCAGATGTTCAAGTTCAAGCCACGAGACTGGCAGAGAAGGTACTTTAGCACTATTATCTTTTTTTGACATTATAATCTTATTATTTTTATAAAGAAGAAAAAACTCTGCAAGCTATTTCAGCCATAATAATGATTTAATAGGTTTTTTTTGTTCAAAGCACTTGGAAAATACAATTTAAATTCATTTTAGCTGTGTACAGTAAGGTTAAGATGATTTTTCAAATTAGTTAAAAAGCATTCCTCTTGAGCTGACATTGTTCAATTTTTTGATTAACTACTTACAGGAGGAGTGAAGTGTTAATTAAATTTACAGATTGAAGCTGGACAGACTTCTGAATTTAAGAGAACACGCTTGATAAATTAGAGCAGTGGGTTGTAATTTTTAAAATTATTTTCTGAGAAGATGAGCATTAAAATATGAGAAGAAATGATTAGATGTAAATAGAATCATGATTGCAGAGAAGAAGTAGCTAGATGATTTAATAAACGTCTTTCATTTCTAATTTCTCTGATGGGTTTGGTACCTAAAAGAGGAGTTGAAAGGATTGTAGAGAATGACCAAATCTTTTTAGTGTAATACCATCAAAAACAGGGTTTTTAAATAGAGTTATTACATGTGAGACAGAGGCATCTGGGCACACTGAATGATTGGAACAATGAAAGTCACCATCACAGAAAAAGATGCATAAAGATTGAGTATAATCAAAGAGCTTTGGTAGCTGAGCAAGTATTTAATCAGAAAATCAACCCAGATTTTTATCAGGAAGTACACCAGGAGTAGAATTGTGCTAATTACAATACTTAGTCTCTTCCCCCATCAACTGTGAGTTCTTAAAACTAAAGACTAGTGCCTCTTCAGTGATAATAGGTATCTCCTCAAGGTTCATGGGTATTATCAGGTGCTTTTAAATCTAGTAGGTTAAAATCCTAAGGTATATTCAATGAGGACAAAAGGTTTAAATGATTTCTATTTCATGTGTTGATACAAGTGCTTCAGCGTAGGGCCTGACAGAATGGCATGTTCTGTGGCTCTCGTGCAAAGTAGGAGAGAAAAATTTTTAGATTTTTTTTTTTTTTTTTAAGTAATCTCTACACAGGGTAGGGGAGATAAAGAGTTCACTACATGTCAAGGCACATAAGGTGGGCATAAAGTGATGCTGAGAGAATTTGAGGTGAGGGAATGGGAAAGAGGAAGAGATTCTGAATAAAGAATAGTGGTCTAGTCCAGAAACAAAGAAAATGTTTACCCAAATAGAGTGATAAAAGTAAACAGATTGGCTAATGCCCAGGTCCAGATACAATGACTGGGAGATATGATGCACTTGGCTGCCTTTGGACTCCAATTTGATAGTATTAAAACTACAAATCTCAGGGTGCTTGGGTGACTCAGTTGTTGAATGTCCAACTCTTGATCTTAGCTCCGGGGGTTGTGAGTTCAAGTCCCTTGTTGGGCTCCACATTGGGCATGAAGCCTACTTAAAAATAAATAAATAAAAATTTAAAAATAAAAATTACAAATTTCAATATGTCTATTTTATAACATACCTAGTTTACTTGATTTTTATCTTTTCAGCTAAAATGTGATACAGTGGTAAGTGAAATCAGCACTGGTCAAGGGACTGTAAATTTCAAAATAAACAGAGAACTATTAACAAAGGTAAGAATGGGTTCTATTCCAGCTATGCACCTTTAGTCTCTGATTTAGCTATGTGATTTTCCTTCAGTTCTTAAACTTTGTCTCCTCTTGCCTCAAAACCCTGCACATTCTGATAACCCTCCCTGGAGTGCCACCCCAAGTTAACTCCTGCTTATCCTTCAGCTCTTGGTATTTCCTGGGTTGGGCCTTTCTGTCTTCTTCATATATGTGCTCTACTAGCACTGGATAGCTCTCCTTTATAGAAGTTATCCTAGTTGCTGGTTTATATTCTTTGTATTTGATTAATGCCTCTTGCCCTTTAAACTCTAATTTCCATCAGGGCTTATAGCATCTGTTTCTCTCACTATTGGATCCCCAGTTCCTAGCAAAATGCCTTGCATGCAGTATGTGTGAGATAACTATTGTTGAATGAGTTAACGGACTCTGTATGGAATACACGAAAAGTACTGCTGATTTTGGCTCTCTGGTAGCCTGTAATCTGTTGGACGCATAAGATTTATATAGAAGAAACCATGAGACAGCTTATTCTTTTAATAAAACAAATACTAAAACAAAAAGATAGAGGTGACTGGGTGGCTCAGTCAGTTAAGCTCTGACTCTTGACTTAGGTTCAGGTCATGATCTCAAAGTGGGTCGCTGGGCGTGGAGCCTGCTTAGGATTCTCTTTCTCCCTCTGCCCCTCCCCACCTCTAAAAAACAAAACAAAAGAACAACAAACGAGGTGGATTGATACAATAAGCCTAAGAAGGATCAGAATACTCAGGTAGGCCTGGAGGAGTTGGGGAAATGACATAAAGGAATTGAGTCTCATGTATGCTTATGGAGGATAAGTAATCCTGGATAGGCACGGTATGAGATCTTTTGTGTAGAGTTTCGTCTCAATTTAACTTTAAAGTTTATCATAATGCATGCTTTGGTCTGTTGTTTTAAAAAATATGTACGCTGGTATTGAGTTGGTCAGAGTTAGTCAATGCTGCAGTCCTGAATTGAAAATAATTATAAAACCAAAATTTCTAATAGTATAATTTCTCACCAAGGTTATATAGTTTATTGGCATTTGCCCATCAGCCCTGTAATCCTTCTGAAGGAGAGTTAGTGTTTCATGCTTGTCTCTAGATCTTTGAACTTTTTTCTTTTATCTTTTTTTCACTCCTACTTCAAGGTAAATTAGTTAACCAAAATCATTCACAAGGACAGGAGAAAATTTGAGCTTGTTAAAATGTGTCTACAATCTGTTGGTCTCTTGATAACATTTCATGTCAGTTTAGTAACCATTGAGTCTAATTTACCATTTCTAAATAAGTAACTCTTTCTTCAGTTGCAGTCTCAATTTTTTAAAATTTATTTTATTTATTTTTTGATAGAGCAAGCGGAGGAGGGGCAGAGAGAGCGAGAGAGAAAGAGAGGGGGACAGAGGATCTGAAGCAGGCTCTGTGCTGACAGCCAAGCCTGATGTGGGACTTGAACTCACGAACCACAAAATCATGACCTGGGCCGAAGTCAGATGCTTAACCAACTGAGCTACCCAGGTGCCCCATCAGTCTCAGTTTTTATGGAAACAGTGCAGTTCACCAAAATGCCCATCAGACTTCAGGCTGCTTCATAGGCAGCAGTTATCTTACTTCTTTTGTTTTCCCTCAGATGGGAAACTGTGCTGTTAGATGGAGTTTGCCTTTGCAACCAGCTTAACTGAAAGAGATATGGTTTATATATCAGGCAAGGCATATATTAATAATTTAACATTTCAATGGCCATGAATTTTCATACTTTATTATATTATAATGAATAAGCTATTAGTTTTTCTGTGATTTAAGGATGCATGCTAGCTTGCTTATTCCCAAATCCTTCTCAGTTGACAACAGAAGGATAATATCCAGGGCTTTGAGATCCAGCTTTTTCACCTGGAAATCCTCCCAACATTATAGCCTTGAGGATCTGGATCGTAGAGTGATTTTTGTTAAAGGAACAAGCAGACTGCTTACAGTTGCCCTGCTTGGTGTTACAGTAACCATACTTCCTAAACTAGTAAGAAAAAGGGGTACTGAATGTGCCTGTTACGTTACAGTTTTTTTTTAATGATACTTCTTGTTTGTTCAAAGCCTAATTTCTTCTACATCTGGCTCCATTATTTTCAGGCCTTAAACAGTAGTCATTTGCATATGTAATGAATTTTTCAGATCACATCAAGAAAAAAATTCAACCCTTTGGGACCATTATTAATACATTTTTTTGCATATTAATGTTATCAAGATTGACATGTAGCCAATGACCTGTGTCCAAAACTTACTTCTCAAGCAGAGAATTACGAATTTGTCATTGCTTACACATGTACAAGCTTAGCCTTGCATAAAAACCTATCTGTTCATGCAGTACAATTGAATTATTAACACTGGCAGCACCAGGAATGATTAAATGTTAGCTTACGTTTGGATCACTAACAGTGGCAATATAATGTCTTCATATAAATCATCCTCAAAGGCAGGAGACTAAAATGTGAAATTCAAGGCAGTAGGAAGTACCAAATCATGGGGACTAGATGATAAATTTTTCAAAGCTGTAAGATGATTTGACCAATACATACGTTGTGAAGAGCTGTCACTTTGGTACCAAGCTTCCACCTGTCAGTAGCTTACATATGAATTTCAAGAGTAATTTACGAAGAGTAATTTAGAATAATAGTTTAGGGGGAGAAAAAAAGAAAATATGAGTTTAACTAAATAGGAAAAAGGCAAACAAAGTCTTGTTAAGTCTTGTTTTTTAGGTGTGCCTTAAAAGTACACAATGGATAACATCGTTTTTGGTTCACATGTACACATGTATTTTTTATTTGCCAAATTCAACTTTGCATGCTCTACTAAAACTTAAGAAAAAAAGACAGAAAAAGAGATACTAATTAAGTGGCTCTAATTCTGCTTATTATTTTACTAATTGAGCTTATGCCAAAAAGCAGTAGATGCATTCAAATCATGTGTAGTATCAATAGGCTGAACACATGGGAGGAATGATTAAGCACTTTCCAACTATTGACCAAAGAATTAACTAGACAAATAGTAGTAGCTTCCTTAGAAATCATTCTAAGAGCATCTTACATTTTAACATTTGACATTTTAATGTACCCATTGATGAATAGATGAGCCTCTAGTTTATTCATCTATTGGAATTTCATGAAACTTTACTAGCTCACTGACATTCTGTAGTTAAAAACTTTGAGTTCCCACTAGTTTAATAAACTTTCTGCTTATTATTTGCGAGGTCCTGAGGGTCCTGCCCTCAAAGAGTTTATGATCTAAAAGAAAAGCATAAAAAAATAGTGTTATGGTGTAATGTGTAGTGGGTATGATAATATGATGAATAATATAATGGAGGCATGTATAAGTTGCAGTCCAGTGTAAAGAAAGGTACACATAAGTCTGTCTTCTTTTATTAATTTTTTGATGTTTATTTTTGAGAGAGACACAGGTGTGTGCAGGGGGAGGGGCAGAGGGAGAGGGAGACGCAGAATCCAAAGCAGGAGCTTTGGAGCTGTCAGTGTAGAACCCAACGCGAGGTTCAAACTCATGAGCCATGAGATCATGACCTGAGCTGAAATTTGACACTTAACCTGACTGATCCACCTAGGTGCCCACATAAGACTGTCTTGAGAGAAGAAGCAATCTTGAATTAGGATAAAGATGAAACTGTATCCGGGGCTCCTGGCTGGCTCATTTGGTAAAGGATGCAACTCTTAATCTCAAGGATTTGAGCCCCACACTGGGTGTAAAGATTACTTAAAACAAACAAACAAAAAAACAAGACTGTATTTGGGAGATGCAAGGGCAGGCCTTCCAGGCCGAAGAGATAGTCTGGGCCAGAGTACAGACAGTCGAGAACATGGTATTGTCTGGCACTGTCACTCACTGGAGTGATAGCATATGGTTTGCACATAGGATGGCACGGGGGAGGGTAGGAAATTATACAATGTGGAGGGCCTTATATGCCCAGCAGAAGAGTTTCAGCTTTTTCCTGTGTCATTATTTCCCATGGTGTGTTATATGTATCACAGGTGGTACATTTGATAATTTTCGGTATTATACTAATAAGAGTTAGTTTATTTTGATATTATATACTTCTTGCAAAAATTATAAAAGCCTAACATTTCTAGGGGCACCTGGGTGGCTCAAATGGTTAAGCGTCTGACTCTTGATATCAGCTCAGATCTTGATCTCAGGGTTATGAGGTCAAGCCCCATGTTGAGCTCCATGCTAGGGGTGAAGCCTACTTAATAAAAAAAAAATTTTTTTTAGGAACAATTCTAACTTGTGACTTTTATGGATATTATAACATTCCTTTTAACAAATCAGGTTTCTCAAAATTTTAAAAAAAGTAAAGGTAATATGCACATAAAGTAAAAGTCAAACCAGAAATTGATAAAATATTTTAAATGTTAGGGAATTATTGCAAGATTTAAATAGAACATACACTTATTAAATATGTATGTTATATAAGGATGTAGTTATGTATTACTGTTTTGTTTTGGTTGTTTTTGTAGTGGTATAGCTGACGGATGATGAAGATATAAACCAGGCCACAGGGGATAACTGTAATGATACTTAGGAGATAGCATGTACAAGGTTTGGTAGTTAATAGATGATTGATTATGAAGGTTGTGGGAAAAGGGTAAACTTTAGGAACTCCTACACCTCTGACTTGGTTAGCTGAGTGAGGGGGTATAGTTCATAGAAGTGGAGAAGGCAGAAGGAGGAGGAGTATATTCCATTTGAAGTGCCTTAGATGTCCATTCTTGGAGTTGGACATACCAGTCTGTGGCACAGGAGAGATTTTATTATTAGGTAAGTAGTGGTTGAAGTCTTAGGACTTTATACCTAGGAGAAGTATAAAGTAGGGAGCTAGAAGCAAGAAAGGAGCACAGGCTGGGGAGCGGAGGGACAGGCAGTGTAAGAGGAGCCTGCAAAGGAAACTGGGAAGCAAAAGTCAGTAGAAAGTAATGTTACAACCAAGGACAGAGGATGGTGGCAAGGAGAAGAGTAGTCATTAGCTAAGGTGATGTTTGAAAAGTGGTCACCTTGGGGAAGGTGGTGGGTTAGGCCAGATGATCAAAAGGGACTCTAGACTTTTGCCTTATCTTGTTTAATTTTTTAGTTTATGAAAAGTGTGCTCATAAAGGTAATACATTAGAGAATTTAAGCATTCAATTAGGTTTGGCATTTCAAATTTTGATTTTGAGAGCACTTGGAATAAAATAGTCGAGAAGGAAGCTGTAGGTAGCACATTGATCAGATTGTCAATGGAAGGTTTGGAAGTGGGGCAGGTAAGATAGTCCTTTACTAAAGCTGCTTTTTTGTTTGTGCCAGAGATGTTAATGAACTGAGGGTCATTTGTTAAAGGAGAGTTTAACTTACTGTGATTGCCTTTTGTGGAGTCTGCCATCCATTATACATAAGAGGGATGGAAAGTGAAATGAATGGGTAGATGTTAACTTTAGAATAATCTGACTATGAATTCCTCCCCTCACTAGTATTTACCTCCCCCACTTGCGGTTTTGGCAGCCATAGTCTTAGAGTAATTAACATATAATGGGCCCCTAGTGTATGACACACACTATTCTCCTTAATGTCTCTGTATATTCATCCTTACTCTCTGTGTCCTATATTTTGTGAGTGAAAGGAATAATATTTTCTCTCTGTCCTTGTGCAAATACATACTGTTTCTGAACCTTAGTTTTTCATCTACTAAATGGGAAATGTTGCCCATTTTATGATTTTGTGAGGCTAAGGATAGCATAAAAGCATCTGGACTTAAACCTAGCACTTTGTAGATGCTTCTTAAAAGTATTGTTTTGCTGCCTCCTGCTACTTTCTTTGCCTTTTCCATTAAGTGACCATTTTAACCAACTCTTAATGATAGTAAAATTCTTCACATCATAAACTACATATTTAGGACTCAGAATACAGTTCATGAAGCAAAACCAATGTAAGAGTAAAGAGAAGCCTATCATAGTAAATTCAAACCCCTAGACTAAAAAATGAACGCATAAATAAATGCATCACGCCATTAGCAAAAAAGGAAGTGTGAATTTTGTGAACTGTATAATCTTTCTGTGTTCATTTTTAAAAATGGAATATGTTTTGGTTGTTTCTGTGAGATTTCCTTGTTTTTTACTTATGTAGCCAGTAGGCATTTGAATTACAGTTTTGTGTTTTCTACTGTTCATGTGATCGTTAGTATTACAAGAGTAGCAGCAGCATGCAGTAGTTAATACATTAGCTCTGGAGTGAAAAAGGTTTTGCTACATGACTTAATAGCAGTATGACCTTGGGAAGGTTCTCTGTGCTTCTCTTTCCTTATTTATAAAAATAATACTTCTCTCTTACGGTTGTTGTAAGGATTAAATGAGTTAATGCATAGAAAATGCTTAGAACAGTGTATGCACATAGTATGCATTAAGTAAATATTAGATGCTCCTGGTTTTGCTTTACTATCTCTGTGGGACTTTTGGCAGTTACTTAACCTCTCTAAACTTCAGTTTCTTTATCTGTAAGATATCTATATCATTGGTTCATGTAAGAATAGATAGATGTGATGTATAAAAGGGCACAGAGCCCCCATAGATGTTAATTCTTATTATTACTGTTCTGACTGGCATTTGCAACTGGAGGAGGGGCTGACAATGCTGTAAAATGCTCAGTTCCATAAATTAGAATGAGCAAATAAGCAATGTTTACTTCATTACCAGTAAACAAAGTAATTAAGTAATTTTTAAAAATTGCAGTTTTTTCTGTCATTAAATCTCATACCTTTTACTTTTCAGACAGTACTACAACAAGTAATCAAAGATGGCTCAAAATATGGGTTAAACAGTGAGCTATTCTCTGGTCTTCCCCAGAAGAAGATCGTGGTTGAATTCAGGTGCGTGCCAACTCATCTTAAGTGTTGGTTATCACAGTGGCTGGGCAGTTATGTGGTTTACCATTATCATCTTGGGCTTCAGGAAATTACACAAGAAAAATAGAAAACCAGTGAGATTTGTTTTCTTAATAGTACAGTGAATTGGTCACTGTACCATGAATAAAAATTTTGGACTCCAATAAAAAGTCTAGTGATTATGGTGGTTTTTTTTTTTTAAATTATTTAATAGTTACTTTTTTTGGAAGAACTGGTTTTTCCATTTTAGTAAACTCTTAAAGGTAATGGTTACTGCCACATTAAGAATTTTAAAGTAATGTGATTACTGGAGAGCAAAGCCTTGTAGTATTTGTAATGTATATTTTTTAAATTGTCGGAAAAATAGGTTGAAATTTTAATATGCCTCTAAATAATCCTCTTAATAACTTTCTGATATGCTGTCAGTACAGCCATCTAATATTTGAACTATTTGTAGGTAGCCAGAACAGAAAAGGGAACACTTTCAGAGTGCAGCTTGACCAGTTGACAGCTCCTGGAAATGATTAGAGATGCTGTGTGTGCCTTCCTAAAAGCTGAAGAGTCTTGATGAACTGTTTTCCTACTTGGAATATTAGAACTTGCTATACTATAGCCTTCTGTTTTCTTAAGTATATATTTCTGTAGAGGATCTTTAAAAATTAGAGAATATTTTAGGTTTCCTGACTATTATAATTTATTATAAAAACTTAGTTATAATTAGCACCTGCATAACCCACGGTGAGAGTAGGTTTTATGGATTCCACATTTGTACTGTCTATGCCACTCATTTGTGTTCTTAAAAAAGGCATATTCTCTAAAATTCAGTAAACGTGTTTATGGTAAGGATTGGTTGCTGAGTAAACTCCTGCTCCTGTGGAGTAGACACATATTATGAATAAATCTTAACACTTGCAGTGAACCCCAATCATATTTAAGGTTGAGTTTAAACATTTGTTGCATCTCAGAGAGGAGATGGACTAGATGAGGTCATCTTCACACCAGAGAGGAACTACACTAAGGCTATCCCTCAAAGAAAGTTGCCTTCCATTTCTGTTATCTTTTCTTGTGTAACAGGCTATGCTAAAATTCAATATAGGAGGGCACCTGGGTGGCTCAGTCGGTAAAGCGTCCGGACTCTTGATTCCGGCTCAGGTCCTGTTTCACTGTTTATGAGTTCAAGCCCTGCATCAGACTCCATGCTGACAGTGCAGAGCCTGCTTGGGATTCTCTCTCTCTCTCTCTCTCTCTCTCTCTCACTCTCTCTCTCTCTCTCTCTGCCACTCCCCCACTTGCTCTCTTTCTCTCTCTCAAAATAAATAAACTTAAGCATTTTTAATAAAATTAAAAATAAATAAAGTTTAATGGAGCACAGGCTTGCACTTTCATTTACATTTTGTCTACAGTGGCTGCTTTTATACTGCCATGGCAGTTGAGCAGAATTGAATTGAATAGTTGAGGTAGAGACCAGGTGGCCTGCAGGCCTAAAATATTTACTATCTGATTCTTTAAGGAAACGTGTGTCAATTCCTGATTAGTGTCTTGAAACAACCATTTTAATGTTTATGACACTATAGATCAGGAAATCAGGGATGGCTTAGCTCAGTGGTTCTTTGGCCTTTATCATATGTAGCTCTAGTCATCTAGAGACTATACTGGGGGTCAAAATTCAGGTGGCCCATTTACTTGTTTGGCAGCTTACCTGAAGGATGGCTGGCCAGTCATCTCTCTCTCTCCACAGTGTCTCTTCAGCAGAGTTAACCAGACTCCTTTACAAAGGTTCTCAGGGCTGCAAGATGGTAAAAGTATCTCATCTTGAAACAGGCATAGCCTCATTTCTGTCACATTCTGCTGGTTTCAAAGCAAGTCACAAGATCAGCCCCGAATCAGGGGGAGGGAAAACAAATAAACTACGTTTCTTAATGGCGAGAGTGGCAAGCTTGTGGTTGTCTAATTCTTTTCATTCATGTCTTTAAATTGATGCAGGACTTCACCTCCTCTGGGAGGCACTTCAGTACCATATTCCTCTTCTACTTCTTGCTGTTACCTAACCAGCAGTAAAGGAAAATCAGTAGAGAAGTGGTATAGTATCTGTTACCATGCATTCATCCTTGAAATAATGCTATTGTAAGTTTCTTGAAACTTGAAAAGTTGCCACCAGCGTTCACTTTTAACACGTTCTTTCTTATTGTCACTTGACCTTCATCATCCCTTCTTCCCAACCAAACTTGAAATACCAACACCTCAGTCTTCCTTATTCATTGATTCTCTTGCTTTTCTCCTGTTTTTGTTTCCCATGTAATAATACTCTTTTGTTTACACTTATAAGAAATGTCTAAAAGTAGCCTGTTCTATTTGAGTTGTATTCTGTAAGCTATTTGTATGGCTTTTTCTTTGTAGACTTTTTTATTTGCTTATGGATTTGCTCCTCTTGTGCTTTTTCTAAAGGATTTAATAAGGAAGTCTGGAATTTAAATGAGCATTTGAATGCTGACGAAGGCAGAGTCCATGTCCCAGCATCCATCTTTGCTCTCTGTTATATTCCATCTAGCATTGCTTTGTCCATAGCTGCTCTTTCCCTTAGAAGTTTTCCATATGCTATGATGCTTACATTGTTGTTTCAAAGTAGAGACAAACAAGTGAGGGACAGGGTCAAAGTTGATAGGAAACATCATTCTTGAATTTCTTCTGAAGGGGTGCCTGGGTGGCTCAGTCGGTTAAGCGGCCGACTTCGGCTCAGGTCATGATCTCGCGGTCTGTGAGTTCGAGCCCCGCGTCGGGCTCTGTGCTGACAGCTCAGAGCCTGGAGCCTGTTTCAGATTCTGTGTCTCCCTCTCTCTGACCCTCCTCCGTTCATGCTCTGTCTCTCTCTGTCTCAAAAATAAATAAACGTTAAAAATAAAATAAAATAAAATAAAATAAAATAAAATAAAATAAAATAA